CTGGTCAGAGCTGATGTGAAGATGAAAGGAACTGAATTAAGGAAAATAATGTCATAAAACCTGGTTTTAGAGTATATCTGTTCAAAAGATTGCTGTGTGTTACAGGTATAGGTACCGCTTAGGATCTAAGGATTGGCAGCCTCAGTCACATACATCACCAATTGTCGCCACCAAGGCCTTGAAATAGTCTCCTTTCCATATTTTTGGCATTATCTTCCTGACGTTCCTCCATCTTTATATTGACATTATTTGGGATTGCTGTGTCTAAAATAACTGTTCTCTTTTTTGCTGTTTCTGAAATGTGTAATACAACAAATACATTGTGCAATAATGGACATTTGTAATATCAGTTTGGTTCAAAATTATTCATACTTTCATTGTTCCTGCATGTGCAGAAAAGTCTCTGCATCATTTTCTCAGTGGGCATGCCTGTACTGTAATTGAGATTATTTTCCAGCTGCACTGTTATCTGCACCGTCATTCACTTCAAAATAAGCCAATCACCTGACCGCAAACACAAGGCCCTCCTTCCCATCATGATTGGCTGGTAATATATTTGCTGTTTTCATTCATCCCTTTATACATGTCATTCAAACATTCTGCTAACCTGATATATTTAGCTTTTAAGAAGATATTAATGCATATTTTGCTGTATTTCCTGCTTTTTTTCTTTAAGTCACTATCACTCCCATCATCTCTTTGCTGTAGTTGTCTCCCTGCAAGCCCTCCTCCTCCTCCTCCTATATTATTCCAGAAGCCCTCCCCCCTCCCATCCTGTCTGCTTTCTTGTCATTGGGTGATGTGTGGGGTGATGGTTGTGGTTTCTGTCGGCGATATCTCCAGAGCATGTACCAGCTCACTGCCTCTAAGCTGAGAAAGTAGCCATAGATGGTTGGATGGCGTTTTTTTTATTTACAGAGACAGACATGTTTAGAGTGGGACATCTGGGAGATGCTGATTACTGCTTTTATCTTTTGCAACCAAGCCTGCAGTGGCCAGTTTCTGCACTAATGAATGAGTGAGGATAATATCTCTGCTTCTTGCTTTTAAGGTGAGGCAATAGTAACTGCATAACAGCATGCACATGCATTCAGCAACAGCAGGTTAGGGTAACCTAGAATAATAAGAGAAGTTGACAAAATTGCTACATTCAAATGCACATATATTGTTTTATATTTATGCCATGTTGAAAGTGATCTGTAAACTAAATTTAGAAAAACTAATTTTTTCTGTTTATATAATGATTATTCATAAACCTGTGAGCTGTATCAGAGTATTTATTATTGCAGCGCTGTGTCCAGGATTGCTGCACAGTGACAAGCTTGTTACTACAATGAAACAGCACCTCACATCCAATGGTGAAAAAAACCCTCCTGACAGCTTGTGATTTCCTGATTTAGCTATAAAGTTAGATTTTCATATAGACACTGGGTGGTGGGCTGCATAGGTGTGGCTCAGACATGAATGGAATGAGTCCCAATGAGAATAAAATAATTAAATCATTATTTAGGGATTAATTCAGTGGTCTGATATCTGCAAAAAAATTGAACAATATTACCTTAATTTGGAAATAGATCATTTATAAAGATGTGTTAACAAACGCATTTAGAGTACAGTCTGGTTGGAGTGTTCACAGGATCACACACATCCGATGTGACTTTTTTGACATAAGAACTGCTTTTTCCTTCAAAAATCTCACATGATGCATCCTAAAAAATTCACTAAACAAATACTCTTTCTCTCACTAACAAGATCATTATCAGTAAAGCCTTATGTACAAACATTTGTCTTAATATCTGTTGAAGTTCCTCATGAATGGGGTACATTTCTGATAATAGAAGTTCAGAGAAGCTTCAGAAACAACCAATTATCATGACTTAAAACAGTGAACAAATAAGATGATTACATGTTAGAAACTTTGATTATTAAACATTTTCAGTTTTCAGGCAGTATTAGCTTTACACTAATATATTTTTTTTTCCTTATCATCTTGTTGTGATTAATTTTCCCGGAGCTGAGCTTTTTAGATATGTACCTACATTAACATAACCAAAAAGAGGTTTTAGGTAATCTAATAAAAAGCAAAACCGAAATTATAATACAGAGGGAAAAGAAGTGACAAAAAAATTAAGAAAAATGCTGCAGGAACTTTGATTAGTATCTCGTTTAATGTTTCCAAAGGAGCATCTGTTAGTGGGAACTTGTTGAATAATTAATGCTGCAAAAAACTAAACAGCTAAACAAACAAAGACCTTCACCCTGATATGTTGATATTGTTGGTCACAGATACATCTAAGGTGAGTTTGTAGCATTTTATAGCTTTAATGCTTCTATCACTTATACCTCTGATATATGTTGCTGAATATTTTTTTCACGTGCATTGGAGTATTTGTTTATGGAATGGAGAACCATAAGATGTTATTATTTCTGTTGTATGGTGGGGTTATTAACTGAGAGAGTAGTAGTTTATTATATACTGTTTGTTATCAGCTTAGAGGTGCTAATGGGACCCTCTTGTTGCCATAACGATGCTTTGTAAGAAAATCTTCTTTTTGTGTAAGCCTTGTTTCTGCCTCAAGTCAACTGTCTTATCTAGCTCCTCAAGATATTTTTAACACTGACAGACAGCTGTAAAAAAAAAAACGTTAGTTTTCCTGAAGGTTTAAAAACTGTACCTTCCAAACTCATCACAAATAAAATTTATATCATCTCTTAAGATTAGTTAAACTGCAATGCAATCCTCTCTAAAAGGCTGATTCTCAGGAAATTAACACAGGAGGTACAGAAGCAGCCAAAAAGCCACAGATGTGTTCTGAACTGGTCATATGATCCCTGGTCAGCCTTTAGTGATTAGAAAGGGAGGAAAGAGCAGGAAAACCACAGAGGAGGAAATGAAACAGGGCTTTGTCACCGTTTACAGAGGACTCTCTGATTGTATGATTTTAGGGTTTAAAGGGTTTCTGTCATTATTTGGCGAAGCTGAAGCCTCTGGATTATTAATTATGAAAAGAAAAAGTAAGTCGTATGTTTAATCTGGACATTTTTTTTGTGACTTATTTTTAAATACTGAATGTATCTGTAGTAGGACAATGGTTGTCAAGTATATTATTATGGATTTTAAGGATAGGAGAATATAGACTAAATACAGGGGTTTCTGTCACTTTGAACAGTAGCAGCTTGACAGAGAAATTCTGTCATTCTGTCATATTTTATTCATTCATAAAAATGAAACCAAATGAATTTATTAATGAAGTATTTCTCTGCTCAGACACGACATTCACAAACAGCATGTTTCGTTTCATATCCGTTGCATAAGATTAATCAGTATCAATAGTTTTTTCTCTCTTTTTTTAAAATTAGACAAGCAAAAAATATTCAAAATCACAAATGTGCCTAGTTTTGTTCCAGTATGTGCTTTGTAGATCAGTCTGAAGCATCTTCTGTTTATTGCACAGATCACTCCCCATTGAGAACATCCAGAGTATAAGAAAAAACTGATCAAACTGGACTGCAATGATTCAGCCCACCACTGTGAAGAAGGAAGGGTCATTTGGGATGTCCAAAACACAACTGGACCTCACTGCCCAGCTTTAGTTCTGCAGGATCCATTCTACAACAAAACCCTTCAAAGACTCAGGAACACCTTTAAGTGACACAGGGGGCAGAGGAGTTTCCCACTCAGCATGTACTCCCCCCAGAGCCTGCATCGCTGGGGCATCACTCACAGTGAGAGCATAGAGCGTCTGGCTTACAGTCAAGGTAGGCCTCTGGTTTAAAATCTAAATGACTGACCTCAGCTGTTTGACTTTGATAACTTGGAAAAAATACAAGAAAAAAAAACAACAACAAAAAAACCCATATTGGAGTGTAGATTTCAGTTTAAACAAAAATAGAACATTCTGTTTAAAGCTATCTCATACATTTTTCTGGCAAAAGTACAAAAATGAATCATTTCTGGGGATTTTATCGGAAAACATTAATCTCCAGTGTATGAAAACATCTGGTTGCACTTAAAAAAAATAATGCAACCACTTCTGGCATTTACTTAATCATACTAAGTTACTTCAACACAATTGTTTAATGTCCTACTCTGCTAACATGAAACAATTGTGTTAATGTAACTGAATATAATAAAGTAAATGCAAACAAACTGTTGCGTTAAGGTCTAAGGCAGGAGTCACCTACATGATGTGGGCACCATGGGGTACCCACAGCATCTTCTGAACACAGCACAGATTGACATTTTTACTTTATTCTGTTGCCCTTCTTTTTTAAGCATTTATAGAGATTTAAAAATAACAATATCATAAAGAAAATTAGAAATAAGTTTAATTAAGTATAAAGTTAAAGTGAACACTGATCCTTCCTTCCTTCCTTCCTTCCTTCCTTCCTTCCTTCCTTCCTTCCTTCCTTCCTTCCTTCCTTCCTTCCTTCCTTCCTTCCTTCCTTCCTTCCTTCCTTCCTTCCTTCCTTCCTTCCAATAAAAATAAGTTTAAGTATGAAGTTATGGTAAACGCTTATTCTTCCTTCCTTCCTTCCTTCCTTCCTTCCTTCCTTCCTTCCTTCCTTCCTTCCTTCCTTCCTTCCTTCCTTCCTTCCTTCCTTCCTTCCTTCCTTCCTTCCTTCCTTCCTTCCTTCCTTCCTTCCTTCAATTAAGAATATGCTTATTATGTATGAAGTTAAGATGAACGCCCATCCCTCCAGTTCATATGTCAGTATTGGTAGCCCTAACTATGACTCAGTACCTATGAAGTAACCCTCTGCCTTGAGAAGGTTGGTGACCCATGGCCTAAAATCTAAATATGTCAAAATACTTTGATAAACTTAATATTTCAAACCAAGGAATCTATTTGTCATATCTGAGGTTGACTGAAAAACAACCAATTCTGAATGAGATTTTCTAAAGTTTGATGAACCATCTTCAGTGAGCAGCCACCTGAAGTTCCAGGTTCTACCAGCAGGGGGTAGCAGGCTGTAAAATCATGACGTAGTGCAGCTCGCTGCCTTTTGTGATCTTCGTGGGCCTCCTGACGCCGCCTCTTCACAGGGTGCAGCAGCGGGACTGTGGACACCAACTGTCGTTTAGGTTAGCTGGCTGTAAACAAATCTGTACACCTCCGAGATGTACGCCATAGAAACGCTTTGTGAGACGCTGTTTGCTGCGCTGTAATCACAGCCGTTAGCACACACAATGTAGAAAATATGACGCTTTTATGCCCGGGGGCGGTGTAACTTTTATGGACAGCTGGATTTTTTTTCTGCTGCTGTTGTTGTTGTTAAACTAATGCCATCATTTAACCGATGGGATGCCACACATGTAATCGGTGACGTCTGCCAAAATCTGTTGCTAACTAACGGGAAGTAAGCTGGATAATTGGTGCTTTAGCTGCATCGAGGAGCTCGGTTAGCATTAAAAATATTGAACATGGCATCTGCTGCTGCCGAGCACGACCTGGCTCTGTCTGAGGCGGACAGCAGTAAAGAGAAAGGCCAGGTGTTCGGCATTCTGAGGCTCCAGGAGGAGAAATTAGGTGCAGGGGAGAAGACGAGCAGCACTGTTAGAGGAGGAGGAGGTGTTGGAGACGGGCGATGGCAGGCTCCTATCTTCGCTTTAGCAAGGAAAGCATCAGAGACCATTTCAGGAAGCATTCACGTCCATCCCAAAGTGTCGGAACAAAGGAATTCTCTTCCCGGGGACTGGACTGTCCAAGGTACAGTATGCCTCATGCTGGTTGATAATAAATGAAACGATGTGACAGACCCTCTGCTCTCTCTGCTGTCTTCACTTTTTATCGTCGTAGTGCAATCAATCGATGTTTCAGTCATGCATCTCCCACACAGCTTTCTAAGCCGGGTCTCACATGATGCATAAGGGAAAAAAAGGCTTTGGGGTTATAACACTTTCCTACGGAAGAGGATTAGAGCCACTGAAAAAATAAAAAAAGTTAACTGATTTTTAAATTTTATTTCAGAATAATATGAGAAAAAAGTCAAAGTTCTGACTTTAATCTCACAATTCTGACTGTAATCTCAGAATTCTGACTTTTTAAAATCATAATTCTGACTTTAATCTCAGAATTCTGACTTTAATCTCAGAATTCTCACAGAACTATTATTACTACTACTACTACTATTGTTATTTCTGATTTTAATTCTGACTCCTTTTTTTTATCCGAATTCTGACTTTAATCTCAGAATTCTGAATTTTTTCTCAGAATTCTGAGTTTTCTCTCAGACTTCAGACTTTTTCCTAAGAATTCTGACTTTAATCTCAGAATTCTGACTTTAATCTCAGAATTCTCACAGAACTCTGAGAGCTAACATGTTAGCATCAAGCCGTATCCATGTCTGTTTTAGAGAGAAAACTAGCTCTCTCGTTTTAATCACCTTCTGCTCCTCCATTAATGAAATAGCATCACCGGGGACCTCTCTGGCACGTAAAAAGTTGCCTAATTTCAAAATTTTCCACCATTGTGTTACTGGCCCTCCAAAACAACTCACATCTTTGTTACTGAAGCTGAGTGCTCCCACATATCTTCCTTCATGGTGCCCATCTAGAGAGATTAAAGTCAGAATTCTGACATTTTCCCATATTACACTGAAATAATATTTAAAAATCATTTAAATGTTTTTTTTTCCTCTTTCCAGTGGCCCTAATCTTCTTCCATACATCTCGCTACGTCGTTCAGTTTAAAATATAAACCCCTCCTGACTCAGTCTACTCGGCTGTCGATGATTATATTTCCTCAGCAGCAGCATCGCTTACCCTCCCACTCTCAGCTAAATTTAAGCTTAGGGTGGTTGTCACCTTTTTCATCTGAAACTGTTTTTTTTTTTTTTTTTTTAGAAACAAACCAAATCAGGTCACATGCCTATGTGCATGTATGTTTATATGTACATTAATTCATTAATTAATTTGCTTACTTAATGGACATCTGGGTTGCATGGATTCTTAAGTAAAATATGAATTTGTGATGATTGTTGGTGGTATGATTAAATACTCTGTGCTTCTTCATACCCTTTTTAGACATAAGCCCATAATTATATGAAGAATTTAATTAAAAACATACATATATATTATATCACTAATTAAAAATAATATTTGAGTGTGATACATTGAAATTTTACTGGATGGTCTGAGATAAATGTAGATATTCATCATATAAAGAAAATATTCATTATTTTTTAACTTTCTTCTTTTTGACATTTTAACTTTAAAGTATAGTGGAGGATTTTTGCGAATTTTTGAAAAGACCCGCCCGCTCAACTTATAAAAGAAATGCACATGAACAACCCTGTACCTGCTCCGTATAGGGAACACTTATTCGTGCAAATGCATTCACCAGCCCATATCTCCTCCTGCACACTATGTTTAAAAATTTTCTGTTTGCATTGCCCATGCAATCTTACTCCAAAAGAAGATTTGAGATTTTTCCAGTGTCAGACTCACCACTGGTAAGTGAAAATGGGGACGAGCACGTAGGACGGTCTTATGTAAACATATCACCAGAATGATTGGCAATTAGGAGGGCCACTTATTTAGATGATCCACCTGGAAAAAGAACATCCTCCACTATACCTTTAATATTAACTTCTTGCTGACAGTTCCTAGCATAAATAGTTTCAACCAATGCTCCTTTTTCCAACCTTAAACCTCAAAGTGTTTTAAAGATTTTTTTTTTTTTTGATAGAGTATCAAAGTTGTGTGTAATATGAATCTACATGGATTTGAACTGTTTCACAAATGGAAATCAGAAGAATGTGTCTGAGTCGATACTTAAATCTGATTTCTAATTAAAACAGTACATTTTTAATAGTTCTTATTTCACCAGCTCAGTCAGAGTGTGAACATCAATTTTCAACTCTACTCCTATCTTTTTGTTTGTTTTATTTAGGTATAGACTTTGAATAGGATATCCTTAACCTTTAGATATACTCTCTTCACTGTTTAGGCAACTGTCCATTTTTTTATTAAAAGACTTTTTAATTTGTAAATCATGTTGCTGCTGCTTCATAGTTATTTTCTACCTCATCTACCACGTTAATTTTTTTCCCCCAAAATCCACAAAGGTGTGTGATTTTTATGTAACACGATTAAAACTGTTAAATTTTGCTTATAGTCAGTAATAATTTTGCAAAGCAAACTGCAGAAAATAATTTTTTAAAAATCTCTGCAGCCTCACTAAACCTCAAGCTGCTTTTGTATATTAACGGACATTAACTGATCAAATGAACAAGACAAACAGTGGAATCCATATTTATAGTTTGTTTCACTGTGTCAAAGAACATGCTGAGAAATCCCTGCCTCCAGCCTGACCTGTTGCTGCAACATTTTATTTTCCTCTGCAATTTGCTCAGGTGGTGTCTGGCTACACATTAACTCCAAATTCCATGAGTATTCAAAGGCTTTCCATCCTTAGGCAATCACATTGTCAAGCCTGGGAGGTTTTGTGTGCAGGAAAAAGAAAATTATTGAAAAATTACTTTCCAATTTTCCAATGAAAACATTCTATATTGAATTAGAACTTTTCTATTAGTTGGATATTTAAACAGATGAGTGTGATTGAGCAAAGGGAGTTAGTTGGTGTTTAAACATGTATATAGTAGTGAAGAAAATTGTGAGAATCATAAATAACTGCCATTGTGGTTTGTAGTTAAAGGTGTTTGCATGTAGTGGGTAGAAGCGTGTTGGGTAAGGGCAGCGTTGTGGTCCATGCAGCCAGGGAAGACTCTGGGTATTCTGGTATCTTATTAGAAGGTTTTTAACCAAAAAAACAATTTGCTTTGTTTTTTTTTTATTTAGATAAAGGGCTGGTAACCAGATTGTTATGGTATTCATGCCATCAGTTCTGAGCTGTCAAAGGTAACCCAATATTTTTTCATTTCTTCTCCCACAGCTATGCGCGACCCCATGGCCATGGAGCGAGCCAACCTACTGAACATGGCAAAACTTAGCATCAAAGGCCTGATTGAGTCGGCACTGAGCTTCGGTCGGACGCTGGACTCAGACTACCCGCCTCTCCAACAGTTCTTTGTGGTTATGGAGCACTGTCTGAAACACGGCCTCAGAGGTGAGTAAGAAGTAGTAGGATATTGTCTCATCTCCCCTCTCTAATGGAGTTCTCACTCATTTAGTTTCACACATGTGTATCTGAGAAGTCTCTCCCTATGTCTCCAGTAAAGAAGTCCTTCCTGGGCTTCAACAAGTCTCTGTGGGGCCCTCTAGAGCTGGTAGAGAAGCTGTGTCCAGAAGCGTCAGAGATCTCTGCCTCTGTACGGGACCTTCCCGGCCTCAAGTAAGGATTCAATTCTGCAGCCGCTTGTTTAAACACATTGCCATGCTCTACTGATCTGCAGCAGTTAAACACACACAAACAGGAGCAGCAGGAGTTTGTGACCTGAGCCGGCTCAGGGAAGTACCTGTGTGTTCTTTACTTTCACTTCACCTTTCGGCTTCACTTCTTTATTTGTTTGTTACCATTTTATACACGCAGCGAAAAACCCTCCACTTCTATCATTTGCATTTTCAAGCATTGCCAATGCAGAGTTTAACTAAGTACATTAAACTTATTGTTCTTTGAAGGAGTTAGGCATTTTTTGTTTTTGTTGATCTTTGACGGTGATTCTCCAGACGGGAAACCAAGTGTGAAATATTCATTGTTTCTCTCTTCTAGCAAAATGAGGAACATTTGTGTTGTCTGTTTCCTTTGGTGACGCTGAGTCAGACAGAAAGACGTGTAGCAGAGTTGCTCAGATGCCTAACGTTAAGAACAGGCTGATGAAACCTTAGTCTGTACCAGAGGCTGCAAAAATAACCCAAAGTACAAAGTAGAGTTAGCATAATACAGAGCATCTGTGCAGAGACAGGCATGCATACAACAATTAAAATAAAGCAGAGGTCTTCAACAGGGGGTCCGCGACCCCTAGGGGGTCCGCAGAGGTACTGCATGGGGGTCGCGAAAGTCTTGGTTGATTACTTTTTTTTATATTCCCTCCTGCAATTTTTTGCACTAAGTAAAATGTCTTTAAATACACATTAACATGAATTCAACGCACTGTAGGAAACATATAAATGGAAGCAGAAGATGTCCTTCAGTCATCAATGCACACATTTAGCGACACACAAGAGCTCTTTCAATCCTGGGCACCATTTCATTCACAACACCTGTCCCATCAAACAGGAATCAGAATCAGAAATACTTTAATAATCCCAGGGAGAAATTACTTTCGTTACATGACTCCATATGTAATAGAGTGACTATAGGACCAGTTTGATATAACACAATTTCATACATTATATATAATTAGGGGGGTCCCCGCTCCATCTCGCTATCAGTTTGGGGGTCCTTGGCCTCGAAAACGTTGAAGACCCCTGAAGTAAAGTATAAATAAAAAGTTGATTTATTTCAGTATTTCAACTAAAGAGGTAAAAAAACAATATTTAAAAGAATTGTTAAACACAGTAATATTTATTATTATGGCTTACGGGTAATAAAAGACCCACAAATCAGTCTCTGTTTCAATAATACACCAATCAATGGAAAAACAAAGATTCTTAATGTAAAATGTATTTCCAATCACTGTACAATATATATGTTTTTGCACTATGATAATAAGTTGATAAGACTTGTTTCTTCTCAGCACTGCTTGTGGAGTTGTTTTGGTTTAGGTGGAGCTTAACTCCAGGAATCAAACGGTTGCAGCTCATCTTCTGGATCATTGTTTGACTCCATCTTTAGTCCTGCAAATCTACAGCCTTTGATGTCTTACAATTCCAGCGAAAGTTTGTGAAAAGTACAATACAGAGTTCTATTTTAAGATTTGTTTTTAGATAAAGACTTTGCCTCTGTTTTATGAAATCAGTGCATACAAAGTAGTATAGTAAATTAAAACAATTATGTTTTCTAGTTTTATACTATATTGCAACCATGTATGATTTTACGGAAGTGTGTTGCATTCACCAAAGAAAAAAAAACAGACAGCTAAATCTCATAATTAAGAGATCAGTATCTGATCTTTTTAAATCGTTTTAAATGATTCTGAAGCCTCAGCTGTACTCCTTGCGGATCTAGGATTTTGAGAAGGTACCATGGACAGTTCTTTGGGATACCACTAAGGCTACGTTGACACAGCAGCCTGAAGTGACCCAAATCCGATTTTTTTTTTTTGGCCCATATGCAACATATATCTGATCTTTTCATGACAGTCTGAACGCACAGATCCGATTTTTTTCCAATGCGACCCAGGCCACTTGGCTATGTGGTCCTGTATCCGATTCGTCTCTGAACAGCCAGGTTGCATTTATCCGACCTGAATGCCATTAATACCCGACAAAGGTCACTATTCTGGGTCTTGGTATGAAGAAGCAGCAATAAATACAGCAACCATGGTGGACAACAATCCTGAGAGCAATATTTATGTTTAACCATCTTGAAAAGATTGTGTTTTTATGGTTGGGAAAGATCGCTAGGTGAGCTCAAGCACTACCATCCATGTTTACTTCCGTAAACACAGAGCACACTGGCCTGTGATGTCTTTGCGTCCTCTACTGCGCATGCAGGACACTTGCGTTGTATGACTGCAGTTCACACAGGAGATCACATACAGGTCGCATATGTTTGGAAATATGAACAGCAACGCAAAAAAAACGGATTTCACAAAAAAACCTGAATTGAGCATCAAGGCCTGCAGTTTGAACCTAGCCTAAGCCAGCTGGAATGCATTTCAGATGCATTAATTTATAGCCATAAAGCATTTAATTGCTCCTGCAGGAACAGTGCGACTTCCAGCAAGTCAGAATAGAGTGGGCTTTTTAGCCTAAACAATTCTAAGGACTTACTGTGCAATGCTGACAAACTAAAACTAATTCCAAACGCATTTTTATTACCCAGTGTCACATACCTAAAAGGATATAAAAGCATAGTAAATCCGAGAACCCACTCATTGTTCACGTTTCATGCAGCATAGCTATGAATGTCTTTCGTGATCTCCTAAATATAACATCTAATTATGAGATCTTATCTCGTAATTTGGAGATGAGATCTCATTATATTGAGATCAGGATCTCACAATTACGAGATCAATATCATAATTATGAGATCTTATTTTATAATTATGAGAAAAGAGCTCATAATTACGAGATACCAATTATGAGATAAGCTGTCAGATTTTTTTTTTCTTTTTTCTTTGGTGACGCCTGTTAAAATTAATTTACATAATATCAAAGGTAGATTTTCTTTCCCTGATTGAAATTATGAAAACCAAACAAACAGTTTTAAAATGTATTTATAAGGAGACAATAATAACATATACTCAAATACATAGTGTCTCAGTTTTGCTTTTGGAGTCTCACATCAGTGTTCAAACATTTCCACTCAGAATTAGCGCTGCGCATTTTGTTGTATGATTTATCATTATCGTGATACTATTGTTGATTCGTCTAAACAATAAACTTGAATTAGTGTTGTTTAAAAAAAACTCAAAGGATGGGTAAAATGAATTTTAAACATTTCTCTTTCATTTTTTTCCATTTTGGTGTTGGCAAATTCACAGAATATGATTAAATGTGGTTACTATGGGATGTTTAGTGATATAAATCACACTTCTTTATGTAACTGGTATCCTGAAGAAGCCTATTTTAAATGTTTATATTTTTCCAGCCTAGCTGTGATTGCTCTGGTTGTCAGAGCTCTACAGTTACCTAAGAACAGCCTGTGAGAATGAATGAAGATCTGTTTTTATCGTCAATTTTATTGTAATTACGATGGTCCCACAAAATACTGTCATTAGATTTTAAGGCCATATCGTGGGCCCAGCCTTACGCAGCACAGCTGTTGAGTAAAGTTTCAGCTCGCTGACATTATGATACTTTTGTGTCCTGCAGGACGCCTCTGGGCAGAGCCAGGGCATGGATTCGTCTGGCTCTCATGCAGAAACGGCTGGCCGACTACCTGCGACTTCTCATCACTCGAAAAGACCTCCTCAGGTACACTTTAGAGAAAGAGATCACCTGACTCTGCTAATTGTACTTTGATAGCAGAGGTTTTGCATGTTAACCTTGAGAGAACCTATTGAATCTTTTTCAGTGATTTCTATGAGGATTCAGCGCTGATGCTGGAGGAGGAAGGGGCAGTGATTGTGGGCCTGCTGGTGGGCCTGAACGTCATCGACGCTAACCTCTGTGTGAAAGGGGAAGACTTGGACTCTCAGGTAATTTAGGCTTTTTAAACCCCATCGCACAGAGAAATAGATCCCTTTATGTCATCAATCAAAGTGTTTCGGACAGTGCAGCTGTGTTTTTATACTAAGCATTCCCTCATCCAGTTATCAAAAAATGGGTTACTGCTTAGCCACTTCACCTGCCTGTGAAGTGGCTTTATTTTGGCATTCAGCAGAGTGGGAGGTTGTGTGGATATTAGGGGGTCAGAATATCGGGGAAGACTTTTCCCCTCAGTTCATCTTCGCATAAGACTAGCTCGCCTTTTTCTCTCTAAAGAACAGAAAAGCTGATTTGAACAATACTAATACAATGACTCATGTATTTCAAGGCACGATGGGCCCTCTGCTTTTTTTAAGAGCTTTAATCTGCAGCAATGATTTGCTTCCTCGTCTTTCCCTCTCAGGTCGGAGTGATTGACTTCTCCATGTATCTGAAAAATGACATGGACGATTACAGAAGCGAGGAGAGGTATTGCCTTTAAACATCTGTTCATTATTTCATGCAGCTGGTCTATGCCTCTGAATGGGATGCACAGCATGTTTTTTGTGTTTCCGTGACAACAGGAATAGCCAGATCTCATCCATCTTGGACCAGAAGAATTATGTAGAAGAGCTGAACCGGCAACTCAAGTAGGGCTTTGGTTCTTTTATCAAAGATAACTGACTATTTATGAATATAGGGGGGAAAAACTTGTGTTTTTTGCTGCAGCTCCACGGTTCATGGCCTTCAGAGCAGAGTCGATTCACTTGAAAAGTCCAACTCCAAACTCATTGAAGAGGTGAGAGTCAAAAAAAACAAAAGACATAATGTTTGACCCTGAAAACAAAGAGTTGGTGTGAGCTCTGTTAATTGTTGTACTGTGTGTGTTTGCAGCTAGCTATAGCCAAAAACAACATCATCAAGCTGCAGGAAGAAAACCAGCAGCTCAGAGGTGAAAACAAACTGATTCTGATGAAGGCACAACAACATTTGGAGGTAACACAAAACAAAAAATGAAATAAACAACAATGAAAAATGTCCTTTTTAATGCAGATTAAATAGAAAAGTTGCACTAGTGAAGCAAATTATTGCCCAACTTAATGTTTTTGGGGTTTTTTTCAAATATCTAATCAGGTCATTTTTATTCATTTCCTATCTGTCTATTATTCCAATGATTGTCCTCCATATCACACAGACAGGAGTTTTATTTATGTTAGGAATAGTGGGTTATTACATTTGAAGGTAGAAATTATTATATGATTTGTATATTTTTCTCTTGAAAATAATTTCCTCCAGACAATGTTTTTAACTCTAAAAGCTCTTAGCAATGTTGGGGTTTTACTATTTTTTCCCCCTCCTGCTGTTTCATAAAGGGATTAATAAATTATAAATAATCACATTTGAAATTATAACTAGGTGAAATATTTAGTGTTTGTCTCTGTGATAAAAGTTAACTGTACAATAAATTCAACAAAACCTTGTGATTCAAAGTTGAAGTCCATCCCTCATTCATTATTCAATAATCACATTGACATTATGTTATTTATTAGGTGAACACAAATGTTACGTAACATTTAGCTGCTGCTTCAAATGAAATTCTTAGGGGAACTAAGGATGAAGTCCCTTTTCACTGATTCACGATCTAACTCCATGAATTCCTCTGTCATCATTTATGTGAATACGTTTCAAATTAAATGTTTTGTTCTGACCTAAAAGTAATTAGAGTTTGGAAGAAAAAAATAACAAAGAGGTATTCTAGGTAGGGAGACCAGATTAGGTTCCCAGTGCAGAGCTTTAACAGAAAAATCAGACACCTTACTTTGACTTGGAGGGTGTTGTTTGATAAAACCTGGGTTAAAGTCTTGACCTGTGGTTCTTACTATCTGGTATCCCAAGATGATCTTTGCACAGCAGCTGTTGCACCTGGGCTGATTGTCGTTCTGTGGAAGGTTCACCCCTGTGTTCTCTCACTAGGATTTTTGGTTGGTTTTCCACCTTCAATCAGTGTGAAGTCAAATTATACATGAAAGAAAGAGGGAAAAACAGCTCTTTAAAAAATGTTCTGAGCTCATAAATTAAACACAATCTATAAAGTCGGGCGGTACTGTGTTTCATATTCATCTTCACACTCCTAAAGATTAAAAAAGTCTAGAAGTTGTCTCCTGTGTTGCTGTCAGAGGAATTTAGAGATGTGTGTTCAAAGCCCAGTACACAAGCAAGGCCAAAATACAACGTGTTTGTTATTTTATTTTTCAGAAAACAAAACGTCGTACTTATTCAAGGTTATCGGCATGTGATAATTTTAAGCAAAATAAAACAGAATGCATTTGACTGGATGACACTAACATTATTTCTTCATTAGCGTAGCTTATTTAGCTTTACAGATCTCCGAATACACCATTATTACAGATTAATCTAACATCAGAATGCAATTCTTGAGTCAAGATATCATATGTGAAAAAAGTCCACATGCTGACTTTAATATTGAACAAGTCTAAAAATATGCATTTGTTACTTATTCAGGTGACTCAAGGCGACGCATCAGTGGAGCGGGACACCTACAAACAGTCCCGTCAGGGTTTGGATGAGATGTACAATGAAGCCAGGAGGCAGCTGAAAGAGGAGTGCCAGCTCAGACAGGTCAGACCTAGGATGTGTGTAATGGACTCTTAAAATATGCATGGAGACGATTAAACAGCAGACTGGGTGTGTTTCCTGTCTGTACTCAGGATGTGGAGAACGAGCTGGTTGCACAGGTGTCTATGAAACAGGAAATGGAGCTGGCCATGAAGCTTCTGGAGAAAGACATCCATGAGAAACAGGTTAACACAGATTCCCTGCTCATATGAAATATTGATGCACAGGGAGAAGAAATGTGTTGACAACTATTTTTATAATGAGCAGGACACTCTGATCGGACTGAGGCATCAACTGGATGAAGTAAAGGCCATCAATGTAGAAATGTACCAGAAGATGCAGGTAATGGCACAAACCTGCTACTTATTTTTTAAAAGTAGACGATTCCTCCTGCTGTAAATTCCCCCTCTCTCTCCCATGTAGTCGTCAGACGAAGAGATGAAGAAGAAGAATGACGTGATCAGCCGCCTGGAGGAGAAGACCAATCAAATCAATGCCACTATGAAACAACTCGAGCAAAGGTGAGATATTTTGCCATGCCTGTAGACGCACATCACAACCCTGTATTAAACGGATCAGTGGCAGAACCAGACCCTCTCCACCTCAATGTGGGTTTATTTTTTCACTTTTTACATGGGTGTCAAACTTGAGCCTTCATCGCTTTTGTCCTGCTGCTTTGAAGAGTGTCTCTGGTTTGAAAAACATTAATGAAATGGCTAGATTGTGTCACATCCTTCAACTCTGAGTCAGGATGTGTTGTTGAAGGATTTGTAACCCTAAACCAGGGGTCTGCAACCTGCGGCTCCAGAGCCACATATGGCTCTTTGGACCCTCTCCAGCGGCTCTTAATAGTGGCTAAAATGTATATAAAGAGCTAAATAATTTACTTTAATATATACCGGTATCAATAGCTTTAGTGTTTTTTATAAGATGGAAAAGAATGAGATTAAAAGAACCAGAAATATGTTTTAAGTAAGGATGCACGATATAATGGGCCCCCTATCGGTATTGGCCTTAAAACTGAATATCGGACATCGGCCACCCCACCGATATTTGATCAGCTTCTGAGTTTAAAAAAGTCTAAAAAAATAAAAAATAAAATGCTACTTCTTCTTCTTCCTCAAAAACTTCTTTTTTACAGACTTAATAACTTCTACACTGCAAAAAACTAAATCTTGATAAGTCATTTTTTTCTTAAAATAAGTGCATTTGTTCTTGAATTGAGGAGATAAAAGAGACATCTTGCCAATGGAACAAGACAATTTAGATTTAAAATAAGAAAACACATTTGCATTCTCTTATTTCAAGTGAATATTATCTAATTATCTTATTTTAAGATTAAAAATAATCATTCCATTGGCAAACTATCTCATTTACCTACTCAAATCAAGGGTAAATACACTTAATTTAAGAAAGTTTTACTTATTTCTAGATCATTTTTCCAGTGTAAAGACGAGGGAAAAATATTGATTCATTAAAATATCCCAATATCTTCATATGCTGATATATTGCCATTTAAAAACACCATATCAGTCTCTTTTACTAATGAAATACTGCTATATGTCATCGTTATGCTACGAAATCCCCCGAAAATTCACCAAATGTTGCCATATTTTTATATGTTGATATATTGACGCGGTATCGATCTATTTTACTAACAAAATCTCACAAGAATTTGCAAAATATCACGAGAGTTTGTAACAGAACGATGAAATTTCACCAGATTTTGAAAGTAAAATAGATCGATACCGTGTTTTTAAAAATTTATTTTATTTATTTATTTTTTTTAATTGATTAATTTTATATATATATATATATATTTTTTTTTATTTATTTATTTTTTTTTTATTTACTTATTTTTTTTATAATAAATAAAAAATAAATAAATAAATAAATAAATAAAAATTAATTTGATATCAGCATATGAAAATATATTTGAGTATATTATTTTTCAAAGTGTCAGAAATGGATAACAAAACTGCTATTTTCAATGACTACTTATTTTTGTCCAGCTTTAACATCGGTATCGATATCGGTTATCGGCTACATGAGTTTTAAAATATCGGCATATCGGATATCGGCCAAAATCCCAATATCCTGCATCACTAATTAGCTTGTGAATTATATTTTTTAACATTAAAATGATGGCAACAACTAATTTCCTATATAAGATTAAAAGAAAAAAAGGTTTTCTAGTAAAAGTCATGTTATATTTTGCGGCTCTAAACAACTTTTACTTGGTCGAACTCTGGTCAAAACGGCTCTTTGAATATGAAAGGTTGCAGACCCCTGCCCTAAACCTTATGGGGTCTGGTTTGACACTCATGACGTAAAAAATGATGCTACATAAGTTCATTTATTAGCACTTCTAGCAAAGATGTGAAATGGGGCTTTATGTCATTAAGCAGGCAATGATGCTGATTTTTTTTTCCCCATAATGACTCTTATACATTCAACTCTTATAATATTATTCCAGAACATCAAGGAAATTAATCCTCTGGGATTAATTAGGTTTCACTGAGCGCTGTTTCTATGAGCAGCTGTCTTCCAGCTTTTCATCTTACTGAAACATACAAGGAGCTGAGGAGCAATGAGTGGTCTTTTTATGTCACCAAGTGGCTTTAACAGCCTTTGTGTTCTATCTGCATGTCAAATAGAGCTACTTTGCAGGTCGTCACTAACGTAAACGTGTTTCCTAAATTCACCTCATGCCCTTTGTTAAGTACAGCTGAGAATCTGTGATGATGTGGGCCTGTTTTTCTCGATGCAGTGCAAAAAATTGGCTTCATAAATCTGCTGGCCTCTGACAGAAAACTGAATGGCTCCTCTTTCAGCAGAGATCACTGAGGTGATCAGGCCTTTGGGACTGTCCCTGTACATCAGGAAAGCTCCAGCTTATGTTTTTAACTTGCTTTTAATGGAAAATACGTTTTTTAGCCTCTTTTCATAAATACATTTTTTTGCATTTTGCCGATGGTTGTTAACTTCATACACAGCAGTTTTTGATGCAGATGCTTTTATTGGTCTTATGCAAAGAGATCTCTTTGTATTGTAGGAGAAAACATGGCTGCTGTTAGTGATTTAGCCAAAGATACATGTAAGCTGACATCAAGAAATCCAGTCCTTAAAGCTTTCTACAATTAGAAGTGAGATTGGCCTGCTCCAATAAAAATGAACCTTTCTTCTTTACTAGGAGTGCTGAGTAAAATGTGATGACATCATAAACACACTAATTTTCTTGGCTGTATTAATGCTGAGGAGAAGCAGGGAAGAATCTGTAGGCAGTTAATTAAGACTCATCATTGTTCAGGGTTTCCCCAAGGAACCAGGATGCTGTTCACACATACATCATGTCATATGTTGCTTTTATGTCACCTCAGCTGCAGGCAATGACATGGTTAAGGCACATTACATGTAAAAACAAACATACAAAAAACTAGGTGATTTAACCATTTATGTGAGTAAAATTGTTCCTTTTAGGTAATGGATAACCTTATATCGTCCTTGTGGAAACTCTATCCTCTTTCATTGATCATTTCTGTGAAGATATTTTCATGCATGTTAAAATGAAGTACTTTATACTTATTAGGACGCTGCCTGCTGGTTTGTTGATGATTCACCCACTCCCTCCTCGTCTTGCTGTCTCAGAGTCCAATCAGTCCATCCCTCCCCTCCCTTCCCCTCTCCTTCCCTCTCCCTCCTTCTCTTCATTGGTTAAGTCTCCATCTTATCTGTGATTGGCTCTGAGTATGCTGCTCCAAAGCTTTATGCAGGCTGGTGCTGCAGGATGCAGACTCTGTTTAGACTTTCAACTTACCAATAAATAAAGCTAAAAAGAATAAAATAATTTACCAGCTAATGTGGGATATATCTTACATTTAGTTATAGAGTGTGTGGTTTTCCAGTATTTTAATGTATACCAGCTATTGATGTATTTATGTTCATCTGTTTCTCTACATCACATTTCCCCCCTTCACCTCCCAGCCTCTGCTCCAGTATTTCCAGTCAGAAAAAAAAACATGTATGCAGTTTAAGTCCTGACTTTAAGGAAACAATGTCTCACTAACACTTCCTGCTGTGTTTGTCTTGGAAAACTTACATAACTGGTCGGTGTAACTGGGGCTGCATTAGAGTACTGATGTATTGACATCCTTTCTTCCTTTCTTTCCTCCCTCTTCCCTGCCCTTCTGTTCATCTCATTTATCCCATTCATTCTGCTTCCTTTGAACCCTCGCCGTCTGATTATTTCCCCCTCCTGGTTTCTGCTACCGCTCTCCTTGTGCAGCGATAAAGATCTGCTCAGCCAGACCAGAACACTTGCTATGTCATTTGTTAAGTGTGCCAGCACAGACACAGAGCACCAGTACAAGCTGGTCAAAGACATCTCCTTTTGAGGACATGTTTACACCAATAATTCACTAAACTCTGAACAACATTCCTGTTATTTAACTCAAAATAGTGAAATGGTTTTACAGGCCAGAGAGGCGGCATAGAATCGGGTATAAAACCCACTGTATGTCAGATTCAGCTCCTGTGGATATTTGAGACGGTTTTCACCAAGTTAGATCCAGAGAACTGATCAGCATTAGAGCAAACAAGCTTCCTGAGAAGCTTTGCCGAGAGCTGCTGGATTGTCGCTCTAATGCTTTTCAATGAACTATACACTACTTATATATTCAGTCACGTGTGTATCACCTTTCGTTCCAACAACGCTCAGTTTCTATGCAGTAAGGTAGTCTGACTCTGATATGTAACCATTGGGTCTTCTTTTATGGTTGATATAAAGTGGAAAGTGAACACAAACATCAGGGTGATTCCTTGTTCTAGGATCAAAATCTGTCCAGAGGATAGGAGTGTTCATGTTGTCCCATAGCTGCATTTAAAGTGTGTCCCTTACATTCTGTTACCGTAAAAGTTCTAGGGGAGAAATAAAGTCATAAGTTGTATAAATACGAAGTGGAAGGAAACTGATGTATAGTTTTCACATTTTTTTTTTAAATACAATTTTCAAAATCTTAAAAGTGTGGCATGCAATTGAACTCTGTCCCCTTTAATCTGCCACCTCTGAAAATAGAGTGGGAACGATCCAATTGAGACATCAGGTAACTAGTGAATTGAGTCCAGCTGTGTGAGATTTAACGTCAGGATAAAGGCAGCTGTGTTCGTTAGCCAACATTAGTGAGGAAAAAAAGCATAATGGAGTTTAAGGAAAATGGTGAAAGATAAAGTTCTGTAGATTTTAAAGCAGGATTAGGTAATACATGCATAATAAACCCCTCACTTGTTGAATCTATCATTTGAAAGCTGGTTTTCATTTTCTATTAAATTAAAACGGCCATCTCAATGGTGATATGTGGAGATGATGATGGCTTCATCATTTATTTTTAGAAAAGATGATCGATGGAGATAAAGATGGATGGAGCTGATTACAGTGGAGCCCTGAAGTCCCTAAATGATTGCTGCTGTAATGCCTAAAAGTGGCTTCTACCCACTAAGTGAACTCAGCTGTGTTGAACTCCATACTTCTCATATGTAGAAGTTTTTGAAAACCGTGCATCATTTTCTTTCCACTTCATAAATGCACCATTATGCGATAGTCCTTTACAGGAAATCCCAGTAAATTAAAATGAATATGGCGACTATAAAAAAAATAAAAAAAAAAATCAACAAAAAAACAACTGGCTCTAGTGTGAAAGTCAATTTGTCAAATCAGTTTTCCTCTTGCAGTCATTTTCTTGTTGTTTTAGTTATTTTGCCAAGTCAGTCTGTGAGGAATTTAGAGCAGATGGGACTGTTTGTGCAGCGCACTGCTTCAAATCTGTTGCTGGTTTGTGTTGCATGTGTTGCACCTCCTGACCTGCTTCACAGTGGCTGTCAAAACCCTGTCTGCACCTGCAGTTAGTCCCTTCTGCTCCTGCTCAAAATGTCTAGTAAAACTTTTTTTAACAAGTGAATTAAGTTTTAGATCAGGAATGAGCAATTCCAGTTCCAGAGGGTCGGTATCCTGCAACCTTTAGATGTGCCTTTGGTTCAACACACCTTATCAAGTTATTAGATGATTGAGAGGACTCTGGACGAACTGAGTGCATACTGAAGAGATAACTCAGCCATTTGATTCACGTGTGTTGGACCAAGGATGGATGTAAAAGTTGTACGATACCGGCCCCTGGGAACTGGAATTGCCCATTCCTGCATTAGTGAATATAATTTAAAGTCATGTTAAAACTGCAGAGTTGCCTTCCTAAAGGTTGATTAATATCTGCAGAAACAAACTGGTTACAAAGCTGTAAAAATCTGCATTGCTCTCATTTTTGGCGTTCTTACTGACTTCTGTGATATACACTAAAATAGAAAATAATCTTCCTGACTGTTCTAATTACCATGTTTATAAAAACTTGAATTTTTGGACAGAAATGGAGCCAGTCATGCTAGTTGAAGTTCACTATTGTATTTTATCACAGTGATCAATAAATCAAAATGTTTTGAAAGTGCTGATTGTGGCTAGAGTATTTATTTGGTTTTCTGTTAGTTTATTTACCCTGTTTAAAAGTAAGGTGTTTGCTTATTTTAGTTTGTAGGGATGTACAACCACTCATCCTGAAATTAAACTGAAATGGATCAACAAAAAAGGTTTTGAAAGGCATCTTAATATTAAAAGAAAATTATGCTGCTAAAGCTGCACGTGACTTTAAAACAAACAAAAAAAAATACTCTTATCTTTCCCTTTTCATTTTGTTTTGTAGATTTAAACAGCAGCTTGCACCACACCATTTTACTTTCTTCATCTTTCACCTCAGCACAAGCGTTGAGTCTTCAACCCATCCTCCCATCCATTGTTTTTCTTTCCCGTTTTGTTTATTTTCTCCCTGCGCGCACACACCTCCCAGATTTTTCTCTCCACGGTCCTGAGTTTGTCCCCTGGTTATAATGGTGCAGATTACAGGAGGCAGAGAGGCACCGCAGCTCCGCCGAGGAGGGGTCCAGGCGCTTCAAGCTGGACTTTGCCAACAAGGCCGACATCCTGCAGCGGCAGATCGATCAAAGAGAGAAGCAGCTGTAAGCAAACTTCACTGACTCAGAGTTAGACCTGCACATGTTCATGGCATCTTCATCTCACAGAACATTGTAATCTGGAGTTTATTAAATTATTCATAATAAAAAAAAATAAGATGAACTTCTTTTTGATTGAGTTTGAAATGTATCCTTTTATGTGTTCCTTTTATGGTCATCTTTAACGTTCAGGCAGCAGCTGGAGACAGACCTGAAGATCGAGAGGGAGTGGAGACACATGTTACAGAATGATCTGGAAAGAGAGAGAGACATGGTGTCTCAGCTCAGCACAGAGGCCTTACAGATCAACGGACTGAAGAAGGTGAGAAAACGTAGACCTCACCAAATAATCCAAACCTCAATCTGGTTTTGAGTTATTTTAAGAAAAAGTAACATAAGGTTTTACATGTTATGGATTGAATGTGAAACGTACGAAAATTTATTCATTTTAAAAAGATGTCTTTAAGGAGCAACATTTAACTGTGCTGTCTCTGCCTGCAGCTTCTGGAAACTGTCCTTTTCTAATTGACTTGACTTCAGTCAGACTGGATGGAGATTACCTATTGACAACAATTTAAACTCTGGCCAGAGATCCTCATTGGGGTCTATATCTGGACTTTGATTGGGCCATTCAAACAAATGATGTATGACTTAAACCACTCTATTGCATCCCTGTCTGTATGTTCTCCTGATGAAAGGTGAACATCTGATCTCATTGTGTTTTTCAGCTTTTGACAGGTTTTCTTTCAGGAACATCCTGTATTGAGCTCCAATAATTCATTCAGAACACCTGTCCCCCATTTAAAATAAAAACATGATGCTTCCACTGCCATGCTTTGCCATGGTGAATGTTGTGTTCAGGTTTGTCCTTTTCCATCACACGGAGTTAACATGCAGTCTTCGAAATGTTGCTCTATCCTTTGTATTGGTTGCAGAAGAAGCTTCTTCTCGTCTCTCTTTCATAAAAGCCAGAGATGGGGAGTGCACATCTCATATTATTCCCGCCTTCAGATATTACAACCTTGGCTTTTGATTTCTGCAGCTCTTCAACAGTTGCCTTAAGCTGCATCTGTGGTTCATCATCCTCTCAGTTCAGGCAGACAGTCGCCCTACAGTAGGTTTGCAGTCCAGCTAAACTCTTTACTTTCAGAAGACCGATGGGATGAGTCCAGTTGGCTAGGGTGATGATTTTTGAGGGCAGTTGCTTGTGAAAGAAGCTTCAACATTTTTGCTGATAAATATTTAAAAAACTATAATTTTACTTCAGGTTATTAAGCTTAAAGTTCATTGTTCCATCACAAAAATCTCAGTAAACCGCACTGATGTTAATTATTCCTTTGCAAGGCTAATTATCATTTGAATGCTACAAAGACACATTGACTGCTTTGATCTAATCTGTTCACCTTTTCTGTGTTTTCCAGGAGTTTCATCGCCTCCAGGATGAAAACATTCAGCTGAAGACGATCTGTGAAGACCAAGAAAGGGCCCTGGAGGAACTTGGGTCCAAACTTAGCGAGTATGTCTACTCTACCTAAGGTTTCCTTCAGTGAAATTTGTCTAAACTTCAACCAGGTTATGTGTTAGTCTATTCAAAGGCGACTCATGGCAAAGTATGGTTCTGACTGTTCAGGAAAAAACTTTTATTTCTGTCTTTTCCCTTAAATCTTTTTGTGCATCAGATCTAAACTGAAGATTGAGGACATCAAAGAAGCCAACAAGGCCCTGCAGGTGAAACCACAGAGCTTTGAAGTCAGGTTTAGTGACTCACTGATTTAAATGCAATGAAAGCTGTAGTATTTCAGTTAATCAAAAAGTTAAAGTTTGCTAAATTATATTATATTATTTAGTTAAAAAAAAAAATAAACTCACAGCAAATAGATCCATTGAACAGTTCCTGCAGTTATGTATTTAGAACATTCATATCTGATTTAAAACTACTGACTGATTTTTACTTATAGTAAATGAAAATGAAAGATGTAGTTTCTCGGAGAATCACTTAATTACATAAGACCAACAAAAAGGAATTTTTGAAACAAAATGTTCATGGTCATTGACCCCTGACTTTCTGTCCTACAGACAATCATTGACAACTTCCATAAGGATGGTAAACTAGAAAAGATTAGAAAGAAGCTGGCTTTTAAGAGTGCTGTATCCAAACAAACTAAAAGAAAGCTAAGTGGAAGAAAAAAGTGTGGTAGGAAAAAAAATTACTAGCTTAAATACATCCATAGGAGGAGGAAGAAGCCATGCCCAGATTCCTTCAGTTGTCCCACTCCTTTTGTCAAGAGACTTCTTTATCACAGAACATGTTAGGAGCATCAAACCTGGGCTGAGGACAAAAACTGAAACCTTTCTGTTAAAACAGTTTTTGATGGTTTTATGCTAAATCCTTTATTTGAGGAACTTAAAGCTGATTTGTCAGTAGTTGTTAGCCTTAAATATCATAATCAATAATAATAAACACCTAAAATGCATAAATCTGGGTGTAATGCATCGATGAGATTCATTATATCTCTTGAGATATAAGGGATAAATTGTTCTTTTGATAATACTTTGGTTTATAGAGATGTTCCTGCTGAATTGTATGTGAAACAAACAGACTGGTTTTTGCTTTTAGGGGGGGCAGGTATGGTTGAAGGATAAAGACGCCACTCACTGCAAGCTGTGTGAGAAGGAGTTTTCCATTTCAAGACGAAAGGTTGGTACTCATTGGAGTTTATTTTTAAGTAAAAACCAGGGGCTGACCTTTTCGTGCTAGCTATTTTAGATTAAGCCTCCATCGAAAAATGAAATAGAAACAAGGCATTTAAGATTAAATTGGACATCTGTTGACAGCACCACTGCAGGAACTGCGGGGAGATTTTCTGCAACAGCTGCTCTGACAATGAGCTTCCTCTGCCTGCATCTCCCAAACCAGTCAGAGTCTGCGACACGTGCCACGCCCTCCTCCTCCAGAGATGTTCCTCCAACGCAACATGAGACAAACCTCAGCCACAGCCGCCACATCCTGTTGGACTTACAACTATCTACTCTCAAGGCTTTCATCAGACCCATGTGTCCTCTATGGTTTGCTGTTAAGGGTGGACCACATCAACAGATCCTGGTTTTATGTAGTCTTCTTTTTTCTTTGTACATTTCACAGGCTATTTTGGCACATTCTGCATGTTCCTTTCACATCGTCTGGTGCAGTTTCTTGTAAAGAGGAAGCAGTGACTGTGCTCTTTTTGGCTATATTATTCTTGCCTTGTTCTAAGTTAAAAACAACTTTTATGTGTAGCAAAGAAAATCAGTCATATGGGGACAAAAGTTGTACATTATTTAAAAGACTGCAAAAGAAAAAAAACAGGATGTAATTCATCGGTATGAACAGCAGGTCTGCTGTTCATGTTTTTTTCTGTGGATCAGTGAGTTTGAACATAAAGCTACTTTATAAAGAACTGAAACTGAAATTGCACTGACTGGTTCTGCTAAGTGGTTTTCAGAACCAAACCCACTACTCCACCGTTACACTGCATGTGACAAACCCGAAACCCAATCTATTGAGATTATATATCTATAACAGTCTGAAGGACATGTGCCTTTTTGCTGTTGTTCTGCCACAAAGTCTGACTTTGGAAGGCCTTCTCTGTGTGATGAGAACAAGCTGTCTTACAGCAACGTTTACGGAAATTCTCAACGCTAAGCCTAACTGGCAGGTTGAATGCAAATAAAGACTACAGATACTTTTTGCAAGGATTATTTGGCTGCAAACACAGATCTTCTGGATTTTGTTTGATCAAAGTTTAAGAAGGTAATCTTGATCAGGTTGAGATAAATGTATAGCAGAGCTGCTGCGTAAAAACTTAGTGTCAGTTAGGACACTAGACGAGACTAATTCAACAGTGCCATTTGAGCCAATGTAAATACAGTTTATGCCACTCGTCTCTGTTTCCAATGTTGCTGAAAAACATTCCTATCTGTTGCAAAGATATTTCTGTTAGAAAAAGTGATGTTTTATGATATTTCACAGTAGCAACACTAGCCAGTCTGTTGAGATTGAAGGTGCACTTATACAGTGGTTTGTGTTGATGAACCACTAACTGCACACACAGGTATTTGCCAATCATAGAGTTTATAAATCATAGACATTTTGTATTTATGTTTGATTTTTGTGAATTCTGCACATTGATTTGTCCAAACAATCCCTGTTAATTTGAAGTCAGCTGCTAAGGACATTTCAGCACTGCTCCATGGTTTACAAGGAAAGTTTAAAACCCCTAATTTTATATATATATATATATATATATATATATATTTTTTTTGTTTTTTTTTTTGAGTTGTGTATTACAGTATGGAAGCCAATAGAGGCTGCCTTCTGCAATAGAGATTTCTTTTATTTATCTCAGGATAACTTCGGATTGTCTTGGGGGGGCTTTTGTTTTGGAGTTTATAAAGTGATTAT